TGCTCTAGCTGAGCTGTAGATATTTGTGTAACATCAGCTTTAGGTACGCAGGTTGAACTTTGTGGAGAAATCCATAGACTGACTTATTTCAAATACAAGATTTGTTCTTGGACCGGTGCTTAAAAGCTGGGGTGAGGGAAGGAACTACACCCTAATAGGACAACTCTCTTCTTCACAGCTTGTTCCCCAATTAGTTCGTATTCTGAAGAACCTTATCATGTCTGGATATTCACCAGAGCATGATGTGTCTGGGATCAGTGACCCCTTTTTGCAGGTAAGAACTGATTTAATTCCAGCGCTGTTTTGAGTCTTAGGTGTCATGAGGTGAGTACCTCAGAGCAGCTGTGTTGATTTTAAGATTTTTTGTGTCTTTGTTAGAGCTGATTGTGCAGATGCTCTTCGTTTACCTTAGTGAAAAGCACCTGCTTTAGTTTGAACAGCAGTTGTAGTGCCTTATCATATTATGCGAAGTTGTGACGAGGGGGAAGCAGTAATGCGTTGGTCATGCAAGTGTGTGCCCTAGTGGGTAGCAGAGGTACTCTTAAACAGTTCTGGCTACTGGGAAGAAAATGAGCACAGCATAAGCCTGTTCTTGTTGGTAAAGGTCTTGGTAAGGATAAGCATTTTGCTTAGGAATGGAAATTAGCAGCTTGTTCTGCTTCTTTCCTACTCCTCAGAAAATGTGCTGGGCATTTCATGGCCCTAAGGTAAAACGCTACCATCCAGTGAGCTTTGCTTTGCTTTATTTTGTCAAACAGGTACGAATCCTGCGGTTACTAAGAATTCTGGGACGAAATGATGATGATTCTAGTGAAGCAATGAATGATATACTTGCACAGGTGAGGTCTGAAAGGTCGATGAGCAGTTTAAACTTTCTCTTCTGGTTTCTTAGTACTTTGGATTCAGCAGCGCCAGTGAGGATACAGCAAATTGGTGTGCTGTGTGGAATTTCGCTGTAAGAGACACATGTTACTAGATGTGATACTTGTTTGCTAGTGATTGGTTAGTTTTACCTCATGATTTTCCAAACTGCCGGCAGGAGATCTTCTTTGGATGGGTTGGAGTCCCTGATTTTGTTTCTTTTCTCCAGGTTGCCACCAATACGGAAACAAGTAAAAATGTGGGTAATGCCATTCTCTATGAAACTGTGCTGACGATAATGGACATAAAATCTGAGAGTGGGCTGCGGGTAAGTTGTCTTTGCTATGCCCCTGCCCTCCCCAGGTTGTATTAGAGTAATTTTTGTGGAGGACATGAAGCAAAGTTGTTTCACCCAGACATAGCTCTGCAGTTGGCTCTAGGTAAGACTGTAGCCGCTTCAGAAAGTGGTATTTGTTTTTTGTTGGTTTTTAAAATTTTTTTTAATAACAAAAGATAGCAAAACTTCCTGCAGACTGTGCTCCCTTGAGAGCAAGAGAGAGCCTGTGCTGTGTTTTCTTAGTTTTTCTTCTGCTGAGGCAGCCTCTAGAGTTCTTCGCTTTTGGCCAAAAACTGCAGTAGTAACTTGGACACATTGCCTTTAAGATCATCTTGAAAGCAGAGATGACCAGAAGCTTTTTTCGATCACTGACCTTCCCTCACTCTCTCTATAGGTGTTAGCCATTAACATCCTGGGCCGTTTCTTACTAAACAATGACAAAAACATTAGGTAAGTTGCATGAGGTGTGTTTTGGCAACACCCAGTTTAAAATGCATGAGAAGCAATTATGTAAAGATTGTGCTGCAGTAGAGCTTTGCTGTAGACCTCTTCAGGAAGTACTGTTGTTGGGGTTAGTATGACTGTCTAGCTTTCTTCTCTCTTGGTGCATTATATTACCCGTGCAAATCTTCACTGTGGACCTGCCTTTAACTTGATTAGTCTGTGTGTATGATATACCATCTCTGGGTATTTTGATTGCAAATCCTGTTATAGGTAGAAGACTCCAGCCATGGGAGATGCGATTCACGCTAGTTTGAGTGTATGATCTGCAGAGGTCTAATCTTTAATTGCCTTGATTTTTCAAAATCTTGGTGAAGACAGAACAACTGACATAAGCCCAGCAGCTGGGATGGGTGCTTGTCCAGCATCAGGGTGTTGTTGTGCTCATCACAGTTTAGGTGGTTACTCACCTTTGAAGATAGGCCAGGCAGTCCCCTGGAAGGTTTGTTACCGAGTGCAAGAACCCTGTTGTGTTGCAAAACAGGACTGAGTTCTGGGGGTGTGAGTGTGCATAGAAATTCTTACTGTCAAACTGTTCATTCCTATATGTCCTTATCTCAGATATGTAGCTTTGACATCATTGTTGAAAACTGTGCAGACAGACCATAATGCAGTACAGCGGCATAGAAGCACTATTGTTGACTGCCTGAAGGATCTGGATGTCTCCATTAAAAGGTAATTGAAATATCACTGACATTGACTCTCAAGTTGGCAGTGTATGGAAAGTGAACGGGACATAGGGGAGAGAAAATTACAATAATCTTGGGGAACTGTGAGCGAGACTGGTATTAATGCACTTTATGGCTCATACTTCAAGGAAGGTAATGAGGATGTGCAGGCACCTTCTTTGGGAGGCTGCTTTTACATTTTGAGCATCTAAGACTGGACAAATAAAAAACCTTTCTGTTTGCCTGAATTTTTTCAAAATGGAGTCTCAGTGAAGATGAGATTGTGTGCTCAGAAGATGGAAAGTCTCGATGAAGTATGACCCTAATCAAAGCTACTGTGACATGCTCCATATTGCTGCTCAGCCGGGCAAACAAATAGTGCCGTGTTGTCTTGAAGCAGTGCTAAGCCATCCAAATAATGTATTCTAGGTGAAATTTGATTAAACAGTGGTAGAATTCAGAGTTGCTAGTTCAAATAATTTGCTTACAAACCACGTCGTGTTATGTATTCATGATGTTCATTTATCACTTAACTAGCAGTATGTTGCTGCTGCTCTGGGCAGTGGGAGAGCTTGCAGCCTGACTTCAAACTAGAGGAAAACATTTTTTCTGCTACTCAGTTTAAACTTCTTTGTCTTTTTCTCATTAGTCCAGTTATGTTCCTTTTCTTATAATAGTAACTTTCTCCTGTTTCCATCAGGTGCTGAGAGATACTCTTGAGTGTTTTGATCTCACTTCTTCCCAATGTAGATGGACTGCTGCTCATCTAAATTGAGTTTTTCAGCTGTCAGTTGCTTGCTCCTTCTATCAGAATCCTCTTACTCATAGTTATCCTTTCTGTAAATAGATGGTCTGAGATCAGTGCAATATATGACATGTCAGTCATGGGGACAGTTGCATCCCTGTTGTAGTGTGTGGAATCTGTCTGCGGCAGGCCAAAATTCCATTCAGCTATAGAATCATAGAATCATAGAATAGTTAGGGTTGGAAATGACCTTAAGGTCATCTAGCTCCAGTCCTTCTGCCATGAGCAGGGACACCTCCCACTAAACCATGTCACCCAAGGCTTTGTCCAGCCTGGCCTTGAACACTGCCAGGGATGGAGCATTCACAACCTCTCTGGGCAACCCATTCCAGTGCCTCACCACCCTCACAGAAAAGAACTTCCTTTCATCCAATCTAAACTTCGCCTGTTTAAGTTTTGACCCGTTACCCCTTGTCCTATCACTAAAATCTCAAATGAAGAGTCCCTCACCAGCATCCTTATGAGCCCCCTTCATATGCTGGAAGGCTGCTATGAGGTCTCCACGCAGACCAGGCTTTTCTGCAGGCTGAACAGCCCCAACTTTCTCAGCCTGTCTCCATACAGGAGGTGCTCCAGTCCCTGATCATCCTCGTGGCCCTTCTCTGGACTTGTTCCAACAGCTCCATGTCCTTTTTATGTTGAGGACACCAGAACTGCACACAATGCTCCAGGTGAGGTCTCAGGAGAGCAGAGCAGAGGGGCAGGATCACCTCCTTCGCCCTGCTGGTCACGTTCCTTTTGATGCAGCCCAGGATACGGTTGCTTTCTGAGCTGCGAGCGCACACTGAAGCCGGCTCATGTTCATTTTCTCATCAACCAACACCCCCAAGTCCTTCTCCTCAGGGCTGCTCTGAATCTCTTCTCTGCCCAACCTGTAGCTGTGCCTGGGATTGCTCCGACCCAGGTGTAGGACCTTGCACTTGGCATGATTAAACTTCATGAGGTTGGCATCATCAGCCCACCTCGCAAGTGTGTTGAGGTCCCCCTGGATGGCATTCCTTCCCTCCAGTGTATCAACCGAACCACACAGCTTGGTGTCATCAGCAAACTTGCTGAGGGCGCACTCAATTCCACTGTCCATGTCAGCGACAAAGATGTTGAAAAGACTGATCCCAACCCCGATCCCTGAGGGACACCACTCGTTACTGGTCTCCAGCTGGACATTGAGCCATTGACCGCAACTCTTTGTGTGCAGCCATCCAGCCAGTTCTTTATCCACCCAGTGGTCCATCCATCAAATTGATGTCTCTCCAGTTTAGAGACAAGGATGTTGTGTGGGACAGTGTTGAATGCTCTGCACAAGTCCAGGTAGATGACATCAACTGCTCTACCCCTGTCTATCAGTTCCATAGCCCCACCATAGAAGGCTATCATCACATCATTAATATACTTTCAAAATTGCTCAGCCTATTTTTTTTCCCTCTTGTGAAACTGATAGGCCATAGATACTCTTCTGATCGGTATTTTTCAAATACATGCCTATCTTCTATTCAGATCTAGATTGTTAGCAGCACTGTTCAGTCTAATATGTTCAGAATAGGAAAGAAATTGGATCTGTCTCACTTCTGAAAACTTGGGTTTAACTGCTGTGTAATGGGTATTGTGTAATTTGTTTTTACGGTTGCAATCAAAATACAAACACCAACTTGCATCTTGCATGCTGAGCAAGTCAGGATGCTGTTGCTGTCCAGTGCCAGAGCCAGCCTGCGGCAAGGCTGTGAAACAGCAAAGCCCCATCTAGGTTTTTGGTAGAAGGCAACAAAAGCATTTTGTTGGTGCCTGTTAGGAAAGCATTGGTGTGCTACAAATGACAGAGCTTCATGTCCCAAGTGCTGTTGAAGGAGAAAGCCTTTGATCCATCAGCAGAGCATGATGTTGCCATCCTGACACTCATGCTGCTGACAATGCAGTATCTTCATTTAAGCAATATATTGACTGGATGTCAGAGTCCCCAGATACCAGGTTTCAGCTGCTGTGACTTGAGGAAAAGAGGTAATACCTGGTTTGGTTTATCTGAAGCATCATCTATTCCCATCATCTTTTAACCACTTCAGTGCATCTTTGGTCCATGTGGTATAAATCAGAATAGTTTTGCCGTAAAGTTCAAGTCTTCTTGTCTTATTATGCTTGAACTGCATTATTAGGAACTTTCTGACACGAATGAGCCATGTAATATGACTGAAGGTAAGCTACATGTATTGAGATAAATTTGTGGTATTAAGATTGCAGTGTGCATCTGCAGTATTGATATATCTGCTGTAATGTGACTGAAAATTTAAGCCATGTTAAAATTATAACCCAGTAGGGCTAGGTGTAGGGAGTTGGGAATGAATTGGAGGGATGAAAACAATTCTAATGGTGGTATAGGTCTTCGAGCAGGCACAGGTCCAGATGATAAAAGGTAATAATTTAGTTAAGTATTTCTACCCTAATTCTGAACACTTCTGTGTTTTATAGGTCCCTGGATATCAGTTAGGTAAAAAGCAAAATAACATTGACAGATGGGGCTTTGAGCAGCCTGGTCTAGTGGAAATTGACCTTGCCTGTGGGAGGCGGGTGGTGGAACTGTGAGCTTTAAGGTCCCTTCCAACCCAAACCATTATATGATTGCGGTAATAACAAGGGAGATACTGAGAAGCAGTGCTGTCCAGTGTTTCTAGGTTCTTGAGAACAAATAGCTTGTGCCCAATACTATTGGATTGGGTAATGTGCCTGGTTTAAACTGTTGATGTTTCATGAACTTTGGGAAATTACTAAACCATCAGAAAAGATAACTGTTGATGTATAGTAAATTGGCAAGCTTGGCACCGGAGCAAGAAGGAATCATTGGGACTGATCCTGGGCTTGCTGCCAGTAAATATGTGAAAGGATGACAGCAGAACTCGCACATCTCAACATTATGACTTTAATGCGAACTGCTGGAGTCAAACACACGTTGAAGTCTGAGCTATTTGGAGAAAGTATGTATTACAAAACAGACTTCAGGCCTTTTGGCATAATTTTGGATGTAACTTGTTGAAAACAAGGAGTACAAACAAAGTAGTTCAGCAACTATCTAGGTGATTTCAAAAGATAACTGAAATGGGGGAGGAAGTTTTTGATGTGCTGTGAGGATTTTTCTAGCCTTCTGGTAGGCTGTCTCAGTGGCAGGCAGAGAACAAAGCTCCTGACAGTATGAAGAGGACTCAACTTGGAGGTTTGGGTTCTGGGTTATGCCAAATGCTCAGTTTTTAAAGAACAGTCAGGGTGTTTTAGTGAAGCTATTTTTGTGCATTTTAACATAAGTCATTGCCAACATTGTACAGAAATCAAATCACATTTGAAGATAGTAGCCTTAATTCAAAGAAGTCAGAAGAGTGGAAGAGTTGTGCTAGAATCAGCTGCAGAAGCTTCAAGTAGAAGGCCTAAGGACTAGTCTCTGGAGTTGTGATGAGTACAAGTAGCAGCAAAGAGTCAGTACTCTGTCTAGTTGTGGTGTCAAGTTGGGGGTGGGTTCTCAGAAGAGCACCAGGGTAATTTTGAGTTCTAGAAGTCTTGTGTAGTCTATCTGACAGAATACAGCAAAGTCTGTTTGTTAGTATTTTAAGTCTCTACTGTATTTGAATCCCTGCTATATGGAGATTGACTCTTCTGGATCCCTGAAGTTGGAGGAAGTGTGTTGTAACGTGGATTACTTACTGAAGTTGTGTGTCAGAAGTGACCACCATTCGATTACAGATACTTGGGAAGTTAGACCTTAAAGTTGATGGATTCTGGTGTCTGAAAGATATTTCTAGCCCTTAGGACGTGTGGATAGGTATTTTTAGAGCACCACACAACGCCACTTTCTCTTAGGTATTTTTGGGGATAGTATTGTCTGCCCAGGAAGCCACTGTCTGTACCAGGAAGCCACTGGTACATTTAATGTGGAAGGCTGTTTTCACAGGATTAATAAATATTTCTCTTCTAATGGAAAGGTAAGCGCATTTGAGTAGCTGGACCTGTGGTTTGGTGGTTTTGGTGGTGATGGTTTTGTTTACTTCACTGGGTGAACATACTTTATCTGTTTTCTGTCTCTTGCCCTAGACGTGCAATGGAACTCAGTTTTGCTCTTGTTAATGGGAACAATGTCCGTGGAATGATGAAGGAGTTGCTGTATTTCCTAGATTCCTGTGAACCAGAGTTCAAGGCAGATTGTGCATCTGGAATATTTCTTGCAGCTGAAAAGTATGAGATAAATTTGCTTGCTATTACTTTTTTGTACATTCTCAGTATTCTGAGCTTTTTGTGTTGCTCCTTCCCTTCCTTATCCCCCAGGAGAGAATATGCTGATCACATCTCTGTTTGCTGATCTGTGTGTGGTGGTGTAGTCTGTCAGTTTTAACTCACTCTGAGGAACAGGACCCACTAGTGTGGTGCACATGGATAGCTCACATATCCCTAAACCAGTCTATACTGACTGCTGCTACATATTGGAATACACATTGTGCTGTCATCCAGGCCTTGCCCCTGTTCACACACACAGCTTCTCTGGTTAGTTGTACAACTGAGATGAGTTGAGCCATTACTGTTGAGCCATTGTAACCAGCAGCCTGAAGTACTACATGTGCAAGGTACAGCTGTGCTATATTGTACAGACTTGTATATTCATGCATCTTTCTGATGTTGGCATTAACACAAAAAAGTCAAAGAATATGAAATGTGTTTTGTTTTGTGAGGGCTTGGTGGTTTTTTTTGTGTGTGTGTGTGTGTTTTGGATGTTTCTCCCCTCAAGAAAGAGCGGGCCAGGAAATAACTGAATGGGGGAGGTTCTGATGATGATGGGTTTCTTGCTGGTGTTGAAAGCTAGCAGTTACTGCTCTAACTTGCTTTCTTAATCTTGTCAGATATGCTCCTTCCAAACGCTGGCACATAGACACAATTATGAGAGTCTTAACAACGGTAAGTGAAGCTGCCTCTCCTGCGTGTGACTACGTACCAAATTTTATTTCTGTAGGAAGTTACTCACCATCAAGTTGGAGATGGCTATAAAGGCTGGCAGATAACAGATGCTGCCACACAGAGGAAGTATGCTTAGATGGTAGTGACTCAGGGCAGCGAGTCAGAAACATGTAAACTTGGTAAATATGACTGGTTTTATAGAAGAAATGCATGATTTCAAAACGACACAAGAGTACAGGGTGTAACAGTTTTCCTACTAAAGTACCTTCTAAATCAGGATAGCTCTTGTGCTGTCTATGGTTCCAATATACAGTATTTTCAGGGGAAAGTGAACACAGCCTTAAGTAACTTGCAGAGAGAAAGGGGTGAAGCAATATCTCGGAATTATTCCTATCCTCTAACCAAAGAGTGAGATGCAGGCAAGATTCAAGATCCTATGCTTGTTTGGCAAAGTCTTGCTTTGAGCAAGTGGTTGAATAAGCTGCATTCTGCCCCCAGAGTGTCTTAGACTTAAAGCCTTCCATGTAACAGGGGAGTTTTCTGTGTTGCTTTTTGTTTCTTCTGTAGTACAGGATTTTTATGTGCCCACTCTGCCTCCTGACAATTTCAGGGTATCTGTAGTATGGATTTCTCTGGTTATAGTTGAGTTCATTGGGAAAATGTATTGTTCTGTACATCTGTCCATCTGAGCTGAGCCTACTCTAGTGCTTGGGGCTGAGTGGGTTGATTTTTATTTCCATGCGTCAAGTGACTTTGTGAAGGTTATCAGGAGATGCTGGGGGTTACTGAGAAGTTGGACAGTGAAACCTAACAGCAGCTGTTCTTGCAGGCAGGAAGTTATGTTCGTGATGATGCTGTTCCCAATCTGATTCAGCTGATAACTAATAGTGTGGAGATGCATGCCTACACTGTGCAGAGACTCTACAAAGCCATCCTTGGTGATTACTCCCAGGTAATACCCAAACTTGAACAGCTTCAGCTTCCTTGTTGTACTGCAATAAGCATGTTTACTAAGCATTGCAAGGTAAGTCAACATCACACTGTGTAGCTCCAAAGGCCACACTGCAGGGCAGGCATGTCTTTTCTCTAAGTTCATGTATATTCTTTTTGTTTGATCTAATTCTCTTCTGAAATTCTTGATCACATCATATATTCCTGATTTTTGTGCTGAGAGCATCCTTGGCTGGAAGGTGGGCTAAGCTTGCTCTGGGAAATGGGGATGGCTTAATTTGTCATACAGGTATCTATTTATCTCAGGTATCTGTTTTTCCTTCTTCAAACAGCAACCGCTGGTGCAAGTGGCCTCTTGGTGCATAGGAGAGTATGGAGATCTTCTGGTGTCTGGTCAGTGTGAAGAGGAGGAACCAATACAGGTATGGCTTGTACCTGGCTGAGGCTGGAGCTGCTTGCTGCTGGCTGTGCGAGGGAAATGATTGCAGCAGTTATTTCGCACGGGTGTCCATGATGGCGATGGACCATGGGAGAAATCTCCTTCCCGTGCCACAGGAGTGGGCTGCCTAAACACTCACAGCATGGAGTGCAGCTACAACTGGCAGAGCAGTGTGACCTCAGTGCTAGCCTAGCTTGCAGGGAAGCTGTAGGGTCTTAGCTGAGTATTTTGGTGATAAACCTGCTGTTCAGTGCATGTAACAGGAGCTGTATTTTAAAACTTATCTCCAAAGATCTCCACATAGATGCATGTGTTTTGTACACTCTGAACACAATGCTACAGGCTCACCAAGTTGCAGAGGAGGTACAACATGGCTGTTAAGCAAGAGACAGGTTTTTACAGTGTGCCTTGCAAGGCTTGCTGCAAGGCTTCTCTCTCCCTTAGCCTAACCTTTCTGTACCTTTTCAGGTAACAGAGGATGAAGTTCTTGATATTTTAGAAAGTGTCCTGATATCTAATATGTCTGCATCTGTTACACGAGGCTATGCTCTCACTGCCATCATGAAGCTTTCCACAAGGTTCAGCTGCACTGTCAAGTGAG